AGTGGAGAAGACTAGTGAGCCAATTCCGAGAGATTAAAGCATGACTAAGAATTTCTAGTCAGACAAAAATAAGACAGACATGTAGTAAGCGAGTAGGCATGCACACACAAGAATGCAAGCGACGAATGAGTGACAAGGTCAAACGACAGGTGGACGAGTCATGTGAGCTAGACATTGAATGACTCCTACAAAAGAACTATACTATGTCTATCGAATTAATCGACCCTTTTTTCTCTCTCTTTTTTAAAGTCGATTCCTCTGTGGTATACATGTCGAATGATATATTCGATCAATAATCTTTTTGATTTCGGCTACTACTATTGGATTTGAATTGACAGTTGCGTCTCTGTGAGCTAGTGTGGTGTGGCAACTTGAACTGACGTACGTAGGTACGTACGAAGTTCTACGTTGTTACTGACTGACTATCTGACTGACTGGTCGAACTAAATAATTTAGTTGATATGCTTGAAACTATTACGAGTTCACCTTATTCGGTAAACAGAACGAAGATCAACGATACAGTGACACGATAGGCTATTCAAATCCGATTTTTCCAGGCCCTGCTAACTAGAGCAAGAAGTCTTGATAAGGCGTAGAGAATGTATTCTACAAGCACTCAGAAAATATGAGGTTACTAAGCACACAACTCAAGCTTATTTATACAATGATAGAAACGCCCTTGGGAGAGCCATAAAATAACTTACTAAAATAATCCATCAACCAATGACAGTCAAGGATGTTCCTAGTGGGAAATGTAATCTCAAGGTCAAATCAGCGTCTTTGCTGTGAAAATAAGATGAAATTCGAAATTTCTGAATAAAATGAACCAATTGGTACAATTCTAGAGATTATCCTTATAATCGATTGACAGAAAGAGATTAACGGTGTTTGTGATTAGCCGAGTCAGAGTTTGAAACATTTAATACTCACATGGATTAATGATTTCGTAATATGTTTGATGAATCGACTTGAGTGTTTTTTCGACCTAAATACTATCTAAATGGTGTCATGCCTACCACAAGATTCAAACATTCTGTGTAGGATTTTCTTAATGACCATTATTCAAGAGTTCTAAAATGTAAAAACTGTTCAGTCTTCCTTTGTTTTCAATAATTTATGTCAGTACATGCCAGTCGAAATCGCATTCAAATCACTTAAATGAATCGTGAATTACATATTATTCGTTTACATGAATTTTTTCACTAACAACTATACTTTCAATAATAAAAAAAAGAATATGTTTTCACACTTCTGGTTACATCATTACAACTAATAAAGGTTTGAATAAACTCGATGTGAAGTGTACTAGGTTCGAGTCCCTCCGCGAAATCAACACTAGTCCTTACTAGGGTAAAATATGCACCCTATATCTATCTATTCTGTAAAAACTTTGATTATTGATTGATATTCATTGAAGTTTGATTGTTTTAAACAACACGGATAATTCATTATAAACAGAGATGGATAGTGGTTAACAATGGACGTGCGTTCCGTCCTATTTAGGACTCATCAGCTAGATGTCCGTGCATCCCAAAGTTGATGTTCACTTCTGGACTCGAACTCAGTAACGTTAGCTTCAAACGCCATCGCATTAGCCACTTAACTACAGAGTCGAGATAATCACTAGCTTGTGTAATGGGGCGAAGTCTAGTTTATCTGTATTGGTAGTTCCAGTCTTACCACTCACAGGGTCACTATCGAAAAATCCCAAACTACCAATACAAATGAATATGGACAATACGTTTAGTGAAGGAGAACACAGGTGGGGCAACCGAATTGCATTTAACGAAAATTACAGAGTTACTCAGTAAAATCGGAAAATCATAACGTAAATTGTTAATTTGCAAAATATCAGTTCATCATATCGAACTGGACTGTTCCTGTTGCAAAATATCAATCCATTGTCTGACATTTCACTGTTCATGCGTTGCATACAAATTCCATTGTGTTCTAACTCTTCCTTTCTTGATCTTCCCCCATCTTCTGCTGCCAGACATTACGTTGACACTCACGTCATATACTACTTATAAGTAGCTCACACCACATACGTTGTTATGATTTCGAATGATTTTGAACGTTATCACAATACAATAACCTGTATAACGTTGAAGAAATCATTAAACAATGATTGTTCTATTTCATATTTTCTTACAGTTATTTATTCAATTTACAATTTACAAATAATCATAAATGTATACAGACATATATATATATACTACTAACGCAGATCAAAAGTAGTACAAAATACGTTCATCATCAATTCACGAATTTATTGGTGACGTTTTTTATTTGTTCAAATAAAATAACAACATCTGTACAAATAAATAATTCGGTTAAGAATTTTAATTAAAAAATAATTCAAGCGCGCAATAACACTTGTACATTTATTTATTTTTCATTGTGTTTAACTGAATGAACTCAAGTCTATACACGCTATCGATTATACTTTTTTTTTCAAAAAAAATTCAATCCGTTTACAATTCACTTCATGTCTTCTAGTTCCTGTAATAGATTTGTTGTGTCTCTAGTTTATTTATTCATCTTTGTATTTGATGAGTTGATTTCTAATTACTCAATTCTAGTTTTCAAATTTAGCTAGAGCACCTTGCAAATTAGTACTGTGATGAAGGAGAACACAGGTGAGGGCAACCGAATAGTATTTATCTTAAATTACAGAGTTAATTGGTAAAATAGGAAAACCATATCGTCAATTTGCAAAATATCAATCCATCATATCGAACTGGACTGTTCCTGTTGCAAAACATCAATCCATTGTCTGACATTTCACCACTGTTCATGCGTTTTATACAAATCGCATTTTTGTGTTCCCGCTCTTTCTTTCTTGATCTTCCCCCATCTTCTGCTGCCAGACATTACGTTTTTACTTGCGTCATATACTACTTATAAGCAGGGCGCACCACAGTACTAATAATATGCAAAAAATACACAATCATCATATTAAATTGTCATGATTTTTATTATGAACTAACTACCACCTGTTTGGTTAAAATATTAGATTCAAAAAAAAATAAAGAAACTTTGCAAATATGCTTCAAATCTTAATATCACAGGTAGTAAATAACTTATTTCGAAAGATATATCCCATTTTACAAGAACTTTCATTAATGAACTGCCGTCAGCTTGCGAAATATTGTAGGTATATCTTTGGCTTAATTAATGTCTCAAAAAAGATCACCATATGTAGTGTAGCGAATAATATCTCGAGATCTCAATCACTCTTCTCGACACCAAATGCACTTCTATTGTTTGGGATCTCAATAACATTTAACAATCTCCGCAGCCCTCTGCTCCTTGAAAATGACCATGTGCTCACTAGTGACTGTTTTCAAGTGTTAATTCATACAGTTGCAGTGAAAAGTTGTGACTAGAGGAATTCCACCGTTCAGGTAGGAGATAGCTGCAACTCATCGAAAATAATGAATGCTGGCTAATTGGTCTAAATGTTAAGCATTCACTTTAAAGGTCGGCCTTTGGTTTGATCCCTGGTTAGGTCGAAGGATCACAATTCCTGAACTAGGGCGACAAAGTCTCCCAGTGCTGCTTGATATTCATTTGTTGTCTAATTTAGGCCTGTTCGTTTTCTTAATGATAACTATACGTCTATGGTATCATGATCAAATTAGTAACAACCAAGATTTATTTGTTCGCAGCTAGTTGAAGGCAGTATTCTCTAGGATGTTTCAATAACCTTAAAAATTCCATTCAAAAGTTCAAATCAATCGAAATACTTAAATCTAGTCTCCAACTTTGAAAAGAACAATGACTCTATTGTGCAGTAAAAGGTTATGCACTAGTCCCAAAGTAATTGTTTGTGTACAAAGTTATGATCCGGTTACTTATGTTATGCACGTCAGTTGATATGCTTGGAAACTATTACAAGTTTACCTTAGTCGGTAAACGAGAGCGAAGACACGATAGGCTACTCTAATCCGAGTGTCCCTTGGCCCCACTAAGTACAAGAAGAAGTCTTAGCAAGACGTACAAACTGTATTCTACAAGCACCCATAAAATCGAGGTCCGCAAGCAAACAAATCGAGATGCAGCGTAGAAACGTTCTTGGTAGAAGCACGAAAATAGCGTACTAAAATACTACATCAACCAATAACTGTCAAGGATTTTCCAGATGGTAATTGTAATCTCGAGGTCAGCTGACCAGCCCATGCGCTAAAACATGAAATTCATAATTAGGACCTTCATGAAGTGAGTTCTAGCGATCTAACGTCCCTAACAACTTATTGTGTGATGTAGTGAGCATCGGATTTCAAAGTTTGAATCCCCAAGTTATGAACCGGAAACAAAAATATTTAGTTAGAAGTTTGACAATTACTCTCCCTTCATTGATTTTCTCTCTCTCTCTCACCCTCTTAACATACTCCAACCCCCATGACCGACAGAAACATGTTCAGGGACTTTTTACAGTTATTGCAGTCAACTACGGAAAGAACGCAAATACTATCATCAGCTTTTCAATCTCTCTGGAAATGTATCCCAAAGCACTGATTAGCTAAAAGTAATTAAGGACATTTTCTAACCTCTTAAAATTTGTTGAACATTGACAGACACCTCCAACGTTCAACAAATCTAACCTTTTGAATTCCTCATCATCTCTACCTTTCTCCTCCTTCTAAATTTATCTTACTGAATTATACTTTTTGAATCATATCTTTGCTCCCTAATCTTCTTCATCGCTGCTAATAATTCTACTATCACTATAACTCTTGGATTTGAACTGACAGTTGCGTCTCTGTGTGCTAATGTGATATGGCAACCTGAACTAATGTACATACGTACGAAGTTCTACGTTGCAACTGACTGACTAACAGACACCTCCAAATTAGAATAGAGTTTTTTTTCATAACCATCTATATGTAAACTTAAAACATTCGCACATGTTGTCATTCGTATTCACTTTAAAAATGTTATTGTTATTGTTTCTTCTCAATAATGATTCACTTTTCTATTTTTCTTTGGTATTTTAGCTGTTGATTGGCCAATTGAATCACAAACTGCACCATTTTTAGAAATTGTACCAATTGCTACAGTGATCTATTTATTATATTCTATTATTTTATTTGTTAATGTTGTCATTGCTGTATTCAATGATATATTTGCTAGTGTACGTCAACAATCTGAATTAGTTTATAATTATTTACGTTATGCAGTTATTATTGAATATGAATCAAGACCATTATTACCACCACCATTTATAATTATTTCATGGATTTATATGTCAATACGTAATGTACATCGGTAAGTTTTATTGTGTGATTGTCTCCTTTGGTTTTTCATTGTTGTTGTTGCTCACTGTTTCAATGATCAATGTACTTGATAAATATTAGGGTTCTTACATATAGTTGATAGTATTAAGCGCTGACAAATCCTACTCCTTGGGAAATTCCAGTTTGATGTAAGGCTCAATAGGCTTTTGTATCATTTATGGCGTAAGTGAGATATTCGTTTGTTAACCAAGAGGTCTAGTCTACTGCGCAGTAGTTCGCCCGGTTCTACTTTATGGCTGTGAAACGTGGCCAGTCGGAGTAGAAGATATTCGTAGGTTGCTGGTTTTCAATCATAGGTGTCTTCGAAGTATTGCTCGGGTTTCCTGAGACAACCGAGAAAGCGATGCTGTTGTTAGGAAACGAGTTCTAGGTAGGGATAGCAAATCAATAGATGAAGTACTGAAACTTCATCAGTTGATATAGTTGAGACATGTGTTACGAATGCCCAACCACCGACTGCCTTGACAAGCGATGTTTTGTGGTTTAGTAGTAGGTTGAAAGAAAGTTAGGGGCGGCCAGACCGAAACATGGCAGAAATCCATGAAGTCACTGACAAGTGGACTGAGTTATTTTGGTAGATATCGACTATCTGGTTGGAATCCGTAAAACGAAAGTAACCAATGACTAGAGAGCTTGAATGATATGGCTCGAAATTGTTTTCAATGGCACAGGTTCATCCACTCGTTGTGTTCTATGAAATTCTAATCTTCTGAATTCGTCATCACCTCTACATTTATCTTTTTTGAGTTTATACTTCTTGAATAATATCTTCTAATCCTAACCTCTCCGATTACTTCTAATACCTTTACTACCTCTTCTACTATTGGATTTGAATTGACAATTACATCTCTGTGCCGATAAGGTATGGCAACATGAACTGATGTACTTATGTACGAAGTTCTACGTTCTAACTGGCTAATTCTCGCCAGGAACTAAAGAAAAAGGGAATAATTACGTCAGAGATTTATGACTCAATTAAACCTACTGGATCAAATACACCACGACTGTACAGTTTGCCTATTTTTATAATTCTCTGTACCACAAAATTGCAAAGTATACAGAAGAAATTCGTATCCTTATCCTTGTCCCTTCCATGACCGGATATAACCAATGTTTTAAACAATTTTTTGTATTTTATTTTTGCGATTATTAACATTATTTTCACATCCTGTATTTGTTTGTAATTTTCTGCCTCTTCCGGTTTATATTCTTCACTAGCCATAATTATGTACACACTTCTTCTTACGCAGTGGTTTTAAGTGTATTGCAATGATTATTTTAAGTCTGTTTATCCACGTTTGACCTAATACTATTTCCAATGTTGAACTATTAATAAAAACTTTTGTTACCGTATTTCAGTTTTCTTACCACTACTATCAGTACACCTGTCTTTAAACTATCGACTTCTACTTTTACCTATTATGTGTAGTGACGTAATAATCTATTTCATTTCATTGTGATTATTGACCCATAAATTACCTTCATCGGTTTCACATTTTCATATATAAATATTCATGTATATTAGAGTATAAAGCCTGATGACGACCTAAATGAAAACAATAATATTGTTCACTTATATGAGTTGTGTATTAATTGATCACTAAGTTGCAATCAATATCATATTATCATGTCTTGAGTGTGGATTAAATTATCTCAATCGATTACAACTTAATTTGCATTGTATTTGTCTCCTGTTTCAACTTATTCTATGTTCAATGTCTTATGATGGCCAATATGAAAGAAACTAATGTTAACAAACATGAAACCTAAGTTGATAGCTGTTAACTTAAGGAAAACTTATGTTCCGTACAAGATTCGAAACCTTGTTATCTTATCTTATCTTATAGTTACAGATGTTAACACAGCCATTTCATAGATTACGATATCTACACTGATTCCTATGGTTTTTATTATCTGACCTAATTTAAATTTAGTAATTTCGTATTTCAAAAAAGGCATATATTTATCTATCTAGTCAACGTACGCAGAGAAAGGTGAATGGTTAAATCAACTTCTGGAGCAAACCAATATTATATGCTGACAGAAGAAACATGTATAAGCTTTCCTTCTCATATGGTCTTAATCTTAATCTCTCACAATCATTTTCTCTTCTCTTCACTTCTACTCTCACAGTCCTTTGCTTCCCATCTATCTTATTTCCCGTAAACCTTTTGCTTTCAACTGATCTGTTTTCCTTCCTATGATTCTTCTCCTCATGTCAATTCATCCCAATGTAATACAGTTTATCTTATCACACTGAGATTTCCTTTTTCCGGTTATTGATTCTTTATTTCTCTTGATGATGATGATTGTAGAGCTTTAAAAATGAATTTGCCGAAAAGCGGACTCTTTGTTGAACCAATCATTCTTATTTTATGTCTCTATCATTATATACTATGTACACGTTAAATAAAACACTGACTATTGTCAATGCAAAAGACACGAATGAACAGAAGTATCATAAAAAATAACTGTCCATTAAATCATTTACTGGTAAAAAGCTTCATTTGGAAATTATTAAACGGATCATGGTGTAGTTTCGTTCTCTGAACTGAATGTTTTGGTTGTGGAGCTTTTATAGTTCTTCGGAACAACATCATCACTAGCACAAGCTTCAGGTTGAAGTGAAATATTAGAATTTCTTCATATATGACTTGTAGCTTGTCTTGTTGACCTCATTCTTGATTGGTTGTTATCATCCCATTATTTGTCATTATCTACTTCTTTATTTCGATTGTATCCCCTCTTCTATTTGGTCCTTAATCCTGCACTTATCCATGATCCATGTGTATATGTTTGTTGATTGCCGATTGACCTGAGTGCAAAGCTTCTAAAAAATTTTGTTTGTCAAAAAAAAATGAAACTTATTTTCCATTTAAAACAATTAGTCCCTTTTATAAATTTTGATAGAACAGTGAGAAGACGTAATTGATCTGAAAAATGTGATGTATTTGCGCTATACATTTCGAACAATCTGGTCACACATATTTACTTGTCAAGGCATTTTATATGAAGATGAATAAAAGGTCAATTAAATAAAAGTTCAAATAGACATAGGGTGATAATTGTAAATAAAGGAGAGAGAAAATTAACGTAATATGAAAAGAATAAGAAGGGGTAGGAAAATTGTCACATTACCCTAGGCTTAAAGATTACCAAGGTAAATTCAAGTCATAACCTTGAATTTACCTTGGTAATCTTTAAGCCTAGGGTAATATGACAATTTTCCTACCCCTTCTTATTCTTTTCATATTACGTTAATTTTCTCTCTCCTTTATTTACAATTATCACCCTATGTCTATTTGAACTTTTATTTAATTGACCTTTTATTCATCTTCATATAAAATGCCTTGACAAGTAAATATGTGTGACCAGATTGTTCGAAATGTATAGCGCAAATACATCACATTTTTCAGATCAATTACGTCTTCTCACTGTTCTATCAAAATTTATTTTCCATTACTTATGATAGATTCATTACAAAGCTTTTTTTTTCGAATTTTTCACTTTCAAACTATTCACTCATTCGTTCATTCATTCATTGTAAGGACACTTTTCTCTGTTAATCTACGAATTCCGGTCAGTTATTACATTAAAACAACGAGCGATACTTGTGGTTGAGGAGTAGGTTGGAAGAAAGCTAATGGTGATCAAACTAAAACATGGCACAAATCCATGAAGTTACTGACTAGTGGATTGAGTCATTTTGGTAGGTGTAGACTACTTGGTTGAGGTCCGCGAGACGTTAGTAACCGGTGGTTAAAGACCTTGAGTGACATGGCTCAAAATCGTTTCCAATGGCGCAGGTGCATCCATTTCCTCTGGATTTTCTATACCACCTTTATCTCACTAGATTATACTTCTCAAACCATATCTTCGAACCCAAATCTCTCCGATTACTTCTAATACTTTTACTACCTCAACTACTATGAGATTTGAATGGACAATTGCATCTTTATGTGCTAATGTAGTAAGGCAACTTGAATTGATGTACGTACGGACGCACAAAGTTCTGCGTTGTGACTGATTGATTACATTGAAACTGTTTGTTAGGATATTCATCCAATATCCTAAGAGAATTATTGGTCAAAGCCTATTGGTCGATTTCTATTGGTCAAAATTATGGTCGTTATAACTGTCAAAGTCAAATACTTCAATGTTGTTTCTTATTGGTTGTCCTGACTATCAATGTCACTTCAAATGTTACTTCCTATTGGTCGTCTTAACTGTCAATGCCACAGAATTCGATGCTGTTTCCTATTCGACCAAAATGTATAAATACACATTATCCGTAACATTTATCGACCATGACCAGGACCAGGGCTCGGTCCAGGATCCCTAGTCCGGGATCCTGTTTCTCTTCTGAATTCGGACCTCGTACTTTCTGGATGCTTGTAGAATACACGTTCTACTTCATATTATGTCTTCTTATTTTAACTAAATATGGGGGTTGTAATAATCGGATATGAGTAACATGTCGTGTCACCGGATCCTCGCTCTCGTTTCCGAGTAGGTAAACTCGTAATAGTTCAAGTATATCAAGTTGACGTGTTTACGTGCAGGCGTAACACTGTTCCAAGTTAATTCATATATGACATGTAACAGTTACAATGAATGATTATTTATTGCTGAATACACTAATAAAATATTAATAATTATATTATTATTCTTTTTTTCAATTTTATTTCATCCTTTATTTTTTTTCTCATTAAAATTCATCTTAATAATACATGTCAATTAATATGCAAAGTTAGGTGAACTGTGAAAAAAGTGTCAATATATATATAGTCTCTTTTTTCAGTATGATATTGATTTGTTGATTTGTTGTGTTTAGGTTAAAAATTCTCTCGAATTATTTATCAATTTACCGATAAGTGTTGTTTTTTCGTTTAATCTTAATACACTAAGAGTAGCTATCATTGGCTGGTAAACTAATAGAAAACTAGTAAACAGTAAATAGTGTTTGATGTC